AAACCCCCCCCCCCCCCCCCCCCCTCACCGGGCTTACGAGAGGTGGTCGCTTACAGGAGGTTTCAAATATAGTGATTTGACTTGGGAACTTTTGGTATTTTGGAAAACGGGCCGCTGTGGAGAGGTGGTCGCTTACGAGAGGTAATCGCAAACAGAGGTTCGACTGTATCAGTGATTGGAATGATTTCGAAGTATAGCATGTAGAAACAGGAAAAACATTCAAGGCAGGAAGGATTTTGCAGACGTCGGTCATTACCGAATTTTCTCGACCTACGGGCGGGACCTAAAAGCACCAGGTTCAAACAAATGTCAGGTCTAAAAAGTCGAGTTTTAAATAACCCACGTAGTTTACTGGAAACCGACCTTTCGCTATGTGGCTCTCACGTTATCAATAGGTTGCAGTACTAATTCCTCAGATGGCCTGTGGACTAATCTGCATAGCAACTATGAAAAAAAATTCGGAAAGTCGGCGTAATTCTCCACTCTTCACTTGACAGATTAAAATGAGAAACAAATGATTATCACGAACTATGAGCTTTAAGTGTCTAAAATAGCGCGGACCATCTTTTTTGAGAAGTAAATAACCTTGCGAGCAGAAACAGGAAGTATTACCTGAGAGAGCTCAGCGCGTAAACAGGTTCAAACAAATGTCAGGTCTGAAAAGTAGAGTTTTAAATAACCCACTTAGAAAAACATTCAAGGCAGGAAGGATTTTGGAGACGTCGGTCATTACTGAATTTTCTCGACCTACGGCGGGGCCTAAAAGCGCCAGGTTCAAACAAATGTCAGGTCTAAAAAGTCGAGTTTTAAATAACCCACGTAGTTTACTGGAAACCGACCTTTTGCTATGTAGCCCTATGTATCAATAGGTTGCAGTACTTATTCCTCAGATGGCCTGTGGACTAATCTGCATAGCAACTATAAAAATTCGGAAAGTCAGTGTAATTCTGCACTCTTCACTCGACAGATTAACATGAGAAACAAATGATTATTACGAACTATGAGCTTCAACCGTCTAAAATAGCACGGACCATCTTTTTTGAGAATTACATAACCTTGCGAGCAGAAACAGGATGTATTACCTGAGAGAGCTCAGCACGTAAGCCACAAGGAAGACTGAGAAATAAATAGTAAACAACAATAGTTTGAAAGGAAAAGGCTCGCCAATCAAAAGGTGTCGGACTTAATAAGCAAAGAATTGGAAAGAAGTACACACACCATGGTACATTTCCTTGCAGAATTTCCGGCACGGTCCAACTTTCTGGTTATTGAGGAACACTTCTGTGGTTGCGTGCCTAAACAGGAAGGAATTAAAATAAGAACGTCAGAAAGTGAAGTATGGAGCCAGCGTGAAAGCAATATCGTGATGATTTTTAATTGATTGTTTCCGCACGCACTTGATGAAGGCGTGTCAACCATAGATTAGAGTATATAAGTCCCGCTTGAAGAAAGGGGTCCATGCAAAGCAACATTCGTGTTCAAGATGATGCTAAAAGTGTCCTTGCTGGTTTTTACTCTGCTTGTTCTTTCTCAAGCTGAAGACCCAAAGGGTGATCGAGGAAAGAAGTCTCCATCCGCCTGCTATTGCCGTCCGGTTATAAATGTTTCTGTGGATGACAAAGGTCAGTGCGACTTGTGCAAAGGAAACAACCAGCTGTTACAGGAGGTGAACGATTTGAAGAAAGAACTCGCCGCGGTAAAGGATCAGGTTCAACATGGTAAGTAACTAGATGGGGCATCGATCAGATTCTTAAAAAGAAAAAACAATCGTGTAAATAAGTTAAATAATATCACCGTCAAAAATGACGTGATGCACATTGGGCGCTGGATTCAGCAGCCAGAGCTCAGTCCCGGCCGACACATTGGTTTGTGTTCTTGGACTATGTGAGACTCGGCTTAGGCGGCGAAATCAGTGAGATGTAGTTCCTGTCCTACAGCTTTCGAGGTTCTATAGTGGCAAAGCAGACACTGAACTTTGCGAGCTTTGCACGTTGACATCTTATTTTTTTTCAGGGTTCTCCAAAAAGAGCAACACGCCAGCGAATATTTCCAGAAGAACAAAAGAATGACAAATTTTAAGTAACTTTTGAGTAAATGTTTAATATTACGTTCGTCAAAAAGCTAAAAGGAAAAATTAACGACCCTCGTTGCAAGGGTGCAGTAGGCAGATTATTTGCTATATCATAAGAAGCGTTAACCGCGCTTCTTCCGTCACAAACAGTAAATCAAGATCGATAATCGATTTCATACGTTTTAGCTTCAACAGGTCTTCCCCAAAGTTCTAAAAGTGCATACGACCTTTATTTCACGAAACGTGGCACAAGTGACTATGTCATCCACCATGGCCTCCAAATAACCGACGCTTTTACTGTGTGCTACCGAATGCGAACAACAGAGAAGACAGTTAGCGATGCTACGGTCCTGAGTTACAGCGCAGACCAAGTCTTCAATGAACTCCTGATCAAAAATATGGATTCACTTCAATTATGGATCAACGACGAGCTGTTGTAAGTTATTACAATTTATCAATTAATTAATTAATAGATAATTAATAGTTAATCGATACATGGTAAGGATGAGTAGTAATAGAACTTTTTCACACAAATACAGCTGTGGAGGATGACGCGAGAGATAAGATACACATATTGCTCAGCAAATTTGTCGCCCGTCTATTTTTTTCCCTGGCTGTCTTTCATGAGTTTTACCCCATGAATTTGGTATATGTTCTGATTATTTTTTTTATTCTTTTTTTTATTTTTTT